CCGTCTTGCAGTGTTCCATGCATGGTAAAACTTGAAATCTTTGAAAACATTGTAAATAGTTTTGATCTAAAATTATTTGTTTTCTTAAGTTGAAGCGAATTTGATGGGTTGATGTCAAATATTCTTCAAGTCTGTCTGCATCATTCTATAAAAGAATGTAACGTCACCTCGGATCATGTACACAAGGACAAAACTACGACCGGGGTGAACGACCTCGGAACTTTTTCTTAATGCCACATGCCCACACAATATCGAAGGAATAAGCGCTATCAGAGGTGTCGCTATGAAGAATTTACATAAATCTCGTCCAAGTCACATGTTTTTCATGTGCGTATAAATGCCATGTCAGAAATTATGCAAGAAATTTTGTTTATCGATCAACTTGGCTGTGGAGAATTGTAACTGTGCACTGGAGCTAAAGACCTCTGAGGAATATTCCCCTACATGAAATCTCTAAAAACGCCGGAGCAACGATCTTCAAGGCGCTTCCGGTCTTTCATGCACTGACAGGAGGTGATGCTACAAGTGCCTTTGCAGGTATTGAGAAGAAAAAAACGTACGATGCACTGGGGGCGTCCAAAGCACACCAATAATGCTTGTCACAACTTGGCCAAATTGACTTCTGCGATAACCTTGTTAAAAGTTGCTTCAAATTTGTCCAGGCTTATATTCACAAAAAGGTATCCGCCATGGATGAGCTAGGACATCTATTGTTTTTCCAAAAACGACAACAGAACGAAACCCCTTCACCCACACACTACATTTTCCTCCATCGCTTAAAGAGATCAAAGTACCAAACCATGATATGGAGGAAATGATTAGTCACAATCAAGACCTATGCTTGCCCCAGGTCGATGATCGGACAAATGAAGAGGGTCTTTTTTGCCCAGTTTCCATGACTAAGAGTCCAGCACCAGAAAGTTTGATTGTACCACGATGGTTTTATTGAGCTAACTTTTTTTGTGCTGGAGTACCTGCTTTGTTGCCCTGATGCTTGTTTCTACGTGGCTAAACAGAGTTCCTGTTAAATCTTCATAGTTTCGCTGGTGAAAATTCTGATGCCAAAGAAAAACACTGCACGCCATAGGGAGCAACACTTTTCCAATATCACACAAAAGAACTTACGTGAACCCTCGTTTCTGAACGTTAAGTGTCTTGAATTGTTATTCAGAATAAGAGATTATGTATATATGCAGCTATTTCAAATTAGTAAGAGACGTGATAACTCACGTGGACAGTTTATATATGAGGTCTTTGCTAATGCACATTTAATATACACAACGAGTTTTTTTAAAATAGACATGTTTCGACATCTCACGATCTTCAGTATAAGTGAAATAATGAATGATACAAGGTTTATGTAAAAGTAATATGATACATAAATTACAACAATAATAGGGGAATAAGATAAATTAATGGGAAGCGTCCGAGCGTATTATAAACTAAATATTGTATTGAATTTAAAAACTTGAACATTGAGGTCAGGGTTAGTTTTGTCAATGTGAAGTGCTTCTTTGATATTAAGGAGAATGAGGTGTCGGCAGTGTCGATGATTTTGAAGCAAGAGGGTGAATAGTTGATTATACATGAGTGAGATTTAAGAAGGCGTCGGTAGATATGAAAGTTTTTGTCTGTTGTAGTATGTTCCCTGATTCTGGTGGATGAATGGCGCGAAGTTTCGCCAATGTATGGGGAATTATATCCCACGCAATTGAATTTATATACCACCATAGATTTAATTGAATCAGGGATTTGGTCTTTAAATGAGAAAAGGTTTTTGATTTTGAATGATGTGAAAATTAGTCGAATGTCAATATCTGTACAGAAGCGTTTCATAATGTTTGTAAGTCTGCGTTGTGATTGTCGTGAGGAATGTCCGATGTATAGTAGTTCGAAGTATAGAGTTGTTATTTTGGAATTTTCAATTGTGTTGGTCGTGATCGTCGTGTCAGTAGTTTCGGTGTCTAGTTTGAGGTTGTTGCTTTGTTTGTTATCGAGATATCGTTTTACGGTTCTGTTAATAAAGTGCAGTGGGAAATAATTTCGTAAAAGAGTGGACGTGATGTTTTGTATGTCTCGTTGAAAGCCATTGCTCGTATTGTTAAGTTTGTATGCCCTGTCGATTAGTGTGCGTATAAGTCCGGTTTTGTATGAAAGTGATGTGAAACTAAAATAGTTCATCAGAAGTCCTGTGTATGATGGTTTGTGATATGTAGATGTTGTACAGCTGTCATGCGATTTCGTTAATAAAATGTTAAGAAATGGCAGTTGATCTTGTTTTTCAGTTTCAAATGAAAATCTAATGTTTGCATGCTGTGTGTTAATGTAATTATAAAACTTCGTGGCCTCAGTTTCGTTAGTAAAAACACAAAAAATATCGTCAACGTATCTGCGGTAAAATAGTGGTTTAGTGTCGTTGTAATTGTTTATCCAGTTTCGTTCATGTGAGCCTATGAAAATATTAGCTAGTATGGGTGCTAAGGGAGAGCCCATCGCAACATTGTCTGTCTGGTCATAAAATTTTCCATTAAATAAGAAATGCGTCTGTGCTGTTGCCATTAAAAACAGTTGTGTGAGGTCTGTTCTGTTTATACTGAACCTGTAGTTGTGAGTGAACTATTTGTTAACTATTGTCAACAAATGTTGATCAATTCAACGCATTTCAACAAATGGGAAAAAATTAAAAACACTTATCTCAGCCTCGTTTTGCTCTTGTACAACCTCTTATACAGGAATATATAATAAAAACAGACCAAAATCTCGTCACTGACCCCACTTTTCAACTCTAAAAACTGTCAATTAAATTGTCATGAATATGTCGAATCTTCAAATCCTACGTATACAAAACAAATTAAACATTATGCGAAGTCATAAGTAAAAATGATGATATCACATTCATAAACACATCATGCCCTTCACACATTGGCGTAGACAGTTCGCAAGTTTCGTCCTGCTCATATACGTACGTAGTCATGCTATGTTTTTAGAGTGAATGAACACCAAAATATTCACATAAGAAAGATTGACTTTCCAGACTGGCTTCGCCATTACGTATGTAAATTGCTAAATTGTTCAAAGGACCGAACAAATTCTTGCTGAAGTACAAATTCAGAGTTTCAGCTTTTCAATGTGTATGTCAAACTTTTTATCCTATCACGGTAAATCTTACTTGACAGTGTTACAAATTTCCCAGCCAATTTTGAAAGATATATCCATTTTTTATACGTGACTACTTCAATGATTATCCATATCGTGCTTTATTTTTGAAGTTCTTTGACTAAGCCCGTTTCCCACATAACTTACAGACTGGGAAACATTCATCGTATTAAAATTTTAAAAACTATGTAGAACTTTACAAACATTGAATCATTTTGCTAATTTTCGGCAATGCCAAAATTAAAAACTATCACATGAATTGTACATGAGTTTGTTAACAACATGTTTCGTTTAAGAAAAAAAACTTTAAAGTGCGTATAAACGTTACATGATTTTAGTATTGTCTGAAAGAACAACTCTGGAAATTAACAAATTCAAAAAATAAATTGATTTACATTAAATCTATTTTGGAAAATTGCTGATAAAAATCCAAATTTCTCTTTATATTTTTCACTAAGGGGTCTGGTATTAAGTTCATGTCGTGACGTCATGTAAGGAACACAGTTCGCACGGCTCTATTTAATACAAGACAAACTATCTGCTGTAAATTGTCCATAGCGTCCTTTTTTTAAAAATTGGCCTTATTTAGGTCGGCATCTTCATCGGTGGATTTATCAGAAAATGAAATTTTTGACATAGACTTCGACAGTAGTGTTCAGCAGCAACACTAGGCTTGAATGCAAAAAGAACACGCAGCATAATATTTACTATTTATATCGGAAGGTAAGACGGGATGTTTCCAAGACGGGTTGTATGCATCCTTCGTTTATATGAGTTTTTACACCGAGAAAAAAAGTAACTGAGAATAAGAAACCATCATATCACGTCTCCTTAGCCTTGATTTGCCAAAGCATTTGTCGTTCGCGGCATCCGTACTTCATCGTGTGAGCTTTGTAAGAAATTCAGACAATACAAATCTCGCTTTCAGAATGGCATATTTTTTGCTTTGTATTTGACTCGAACAAGAAATTACAGTTGGTAGTTCTGAACTTTGACTGCCATTTATCGTTTTGTTTCAATGCTGTTGTGTTGCTACATTTATTTATATCCGGTTGATTTTGACAGGTTTAGTATCTGGATAGTGAAAAATTTGAGCATTTATACGACCAAAAAAATGTCCCGTGTTGACCAAGATCACGGTTAAAAAAAACCGACCCGACCAACTGTCACGAGACAAAAAACGTCCCGGTTCCATACAAACAAATGACAATTACATATAGAAAATGTATGAAACCGAGGTCTCATTTATCTCCCGTTTCGGGAATCAATCCATCCCGGCTCTCATATAAACAATCGCTTTTTGTGCCCCATATACGTAGGAGAAGATTCGGCCAGCAATGACTGAGAACAAAGACTCTACACAAGCTTGCTTGTCTTGCAAATTAAATATACCGCCTAGTCAAGTTCTTGAGTTTAAATGTAATATGCAAATACTATACATAGCTGATATTGGGCATTTTACTCGCTTTAACGCAACAAAGTCGACCCTCTTATTTCAAAAGGATTGACGGACCCATTGAAAGAAATAAGTGAAGGCGGGGAATATGGAGTTAGGAAGGGGACAAAATTAAATAATAAATCGTCGACCCGTGTTTCAATTCGTCGACTCGTGTTTCAATTCGTCGACTCGTGTTTCAATTCGTCGACTCGAACAATTCGTCGACTCGAACTTCAATTCGTCGACTTGAACGATGACTTGAACCTTACGGTATGCAAATGCCAGCGGTTATTTTTTTTACGATACTTCGTGAATTGGAGAGTTTGGATGCATATAAAGTTATGACATCTCGAACAAAATGGCGGAAAATCCAGTCGTTCGCGTTGTGTCTGTATTAAAAGAGGCAATTGAAAGATTCAGAATCATTGCCCTTCAAAATGGCGGCTTACATGTGTAATGTACTAATTTGTTAATGGAATGACTTTATGTATACTTGTGCATAGTAAAAAATGCATTCAATACAATCATTGACAACTGTTAATTCACTGGTTACTCCTGGAGTTAATCTGAAGCATTTTATTTGCCGAAGTCTAACTGAAATCGTGAGACTTTTTGAGGGGGTGTTATTTAATAATGAACGTAATCAATTAGAGTATGCCCTGTATAAATTGGAACAAGTCATTCAAATTGGAGTTAGCAGTGACGAACAAGGTCTGTGGAATCAAGTTTTTCCAGTAGGTTTGCTGGATACACTTATTCAAGCCTTCAATACGTTACTTGAGGAAACTGTATATTCAGATTGCTCAACAGCCTCAGCGTTGTTACTATCGAAACCAGCCACTATCCGGAAAAATTCAGCAGGAAGGCCAGAATTCGAGATTAACTGTGAAACACTAAAACTTTTTCTCAGGTATGGCTTTTCTTTGGTTAAAATAGGTCAAATGTTGGGTGTTAGCGCTAAAACAATAAGTCGGAGAATCAAAGAATTTGGTTTGAAAGAAGAGGTCCCCAAATACACTGATATTCCAAACTATGACCTTGATAAAATGGTTTCAGAAATCTATAGAGAATTTCCTAATTGTGGTATTCGTAGAATGAAGGGATTTCTTATGGCAAGAGGTGTAAAATTGCAATGGGAAAGAGTGAGATCATCTCTGTGGAGAATTGACCCAGATGGCATTTTATTAAGATCAATGCAACTTAATCTAGTTAACAGGAGGAAGTACTTTGTTCCTGGGCCATTGTTCTTATGGCACCTGGATGGCAACCATAAATTAATAAGATGGGGGTTTGTTGTTCATGGGTGCATTGATGGCTACTCAAGGCGTATTATGTATTTAAAGGCAAATACAAACAATAAAGCCAGTACTGTGTATAACCTTTTTATTGAAGCTGTTAATAACTTTGGCCTCCCAGAAAGAGTTAGGGGTGATCAAGGAGTAGAAAATATTGATGTTGCGTGGTACATGCTCTCCAATCCAGATAGGGGCCCTAATCGTGGTAGTTTTATTGCCGGAAAAAGCTGCCACAATCAACGGATTGAAAGGCTATGGAGAGATCTCTTTCATGGTTGTTTATTTATTTTTTATTATGTCTTTTGGTATCTTGAGGAAAATGGTCATTTGGAGCTGGATAATGAGTTACATATTTTTTGTTTACATTATGTTTTTGTTCCTAGAATTAATTGGCATCTTGATCTTTTCAGAAATGGCTATGATAATCACCCATTACGAACTGAATCCAATATGACTCCCAATCAGATGTGGGTGTATGGTTTGAGTCAACTTAATATTAACCACAATGCAATGTTCGAACAAACCAACATAAACATGTATGGTGTAGATTTTGAGGGACCTTTACCTTCTCAAACATACAGTGGTGAAATATCTTGTGAAAGCTCTGTAGAAGTCCCACCTACAGCCTGCCCATTAAATGACCAGCAATTGGAAAGTTTTCAGAATGCTGTTGATCCTTTGGCATCATCATCATCACATGGACTAGACATATATTTGAACGCAATAAATTTTATTCAGAATATTCTCCAATCACAAGCTGGCAATAATCATTCCAACTGTTAAACACAGAATTGATCATCTTAATTAAACAAAAAATGTTAGCTCTAGAAATTTAAGTTTTGTGACATTAATTTTAAACAGCAGACAAACATTTGAAAGTAACTGTTTATTAACAATACAATGCATTAATAGTCTGGAGCCAGTTGCACATAACCTGGATAAAGTTATCTGTTGAAAAAGATATATTTTCATTATGATAATGTTAACTTTGCACTTCTAAGAGCAGTATTTTATTTCATTCATTGCTCAGTGCAAATCATAATTTTTCTTTTAAGAGATTTTTAAATGTTTAAAATATTGTGATTGAGTGGATAGTGCCATTCTACCTTTGAGCAACTGGCCTCAGTGATTCAGTTTAAACAATTCAGTACAAATAACATTAACTGAAAATGGGGACATTTTCAAACATAACTATTTACTGTAATATGTAGTCAAACAACTTAAAAGAGTATTTTCATTGCAAAAGGCATTGTCTCATCACTACAAAGTTAAAATAAGAAAAAATATAAAATTGTTTTCTACAAAACAATAGTACCCAGAACTGTTCACACAAACATCTTCTGTTTTTGGTCAATCAAGGGTTAGGAAATCCTACCCTACCAAACTTTAGTGCAATGTTCATTGCTTCAAAAAATCGTTTTTTTGAGCTGTGAACAGTTGGAATTCTTAAGACTAATGTGCACGACGAAGCCATTGGCAAACTCTTTGTATCATCATCTGCTAAAAAGGCTACCTTCAATCTCTTTGTTAAACCACTAAATGGAACCACCGTCCATCCAGTCCAAAACTGCATAAGTGCACGTAGTCGGGAATCACCTGGGAAGTCGTCATTTTCATCCTGATTAACATAACATTCAAACCACTCATATGCTTGTTGTTCCGCAAAGCTTTTACTTTCCACATTGGTAATCATATCCATCAGGGTAGCAGGAGTGAGCAAGCAAATTTCTTTAGAAGTGAATAAAATTTCACAAATTTCCTTATTCGCTTGAACTAACTTTAAAAGACCAAGAGATTCTAACCCGATACAGAACTCGCTGATTTCATTCTTTCTTGATACCAGCAATTCATGAGCAATCAGATGTTGTAAAAGGAAATCTTTACTTTTCATATTTATCATCTTCTCTTTTGGCCATCGTGATGAGTTAACAATTTGCCAAAATGCTTCAGATTTTGGATTTCTCTCTAATAGCTGAAGTATATCATCATCTTTTTCACAAGTTTCCAAGCAATTTATAAATTCATGCAACAATGCGGTGGAGGCATCCAGCGGAATGTGCTGCTTCTTCATTTTGGAAATAGTTTCTTCATCTGTTTCAGCAACCATGTGTGAGTAAACATGTGGAGCAAGATATGGAAACCCAATTGAGCTTCTCTGGACTAATGCATGACTTATAATTATTCCAGCAATCTGAAACAAAATACCTTTTGTTACATCTCTGATTGGTACCATATTTGACTCACCACCTTCAAATAATCGAGCTTTACATTCACTAAGTGCCAATGAAAAAAACTCTATTTTCATGGCACCACCATCAAGGCCTTCCTCGTTTTTGAATGACACACAAAGCTCTTTCTTCAAGATTTCTGGTTTTGAAAGAGATCTTTTATAAAACTTAATAACATCTATCCAAAATGCTTCCCGATCTATAAGTATGCACTCTTCGCCTGGCAAATGATTTTTTGCCACAAATGATGCAATTACTTCTTCCAAAGATGATGGACTTTCTATTTTACTCTCTGCCTGTGTTTCAAGGAGGAGACATGCTGCATCATCAACTGAGGTAGCAATTGACTGAACTTCCTTTATATCTTCCTCACTGGTATCAGGAAATGCCTGCTTTAGTTCTGTTAACCAGCTTTGTGAAGAAGTGCATGGCCTATTAGAATCTTCAAGTTCATGCTTTGTTCCAATTTCTGATTGGTTTGGAATATTCAGCTCTGTAACTTCATCATCAACCTCTCTGCCATCTTCTTTTGAAATAGCCTCATCTTCAGTAGTTTCACTTTCAATTAATATAGAGCAACAATCATTAGAATGTTGACGCAAGGCAAATATTGGAACTTGTTCATTGCATCTTGTACATACAGTCAAAGGGCTAGTTGGACTGATGGGCACTGGAGCTTTTTCAACAGGCAATGACTCTTTAATTGGGCGTATGTAAATTGTGGTATTGGAACTAACCATATCCTTAATGTATGGGACATTGTATCCATCTGATGGGATAGGAATCAGGCAAAGAGGCCGTGAATATCCACCACCCTCTCCACGCATAAATTCAAATGCCCCATCTTGTGATTTCAATTTAGGAAATTCAGTTTCAATGACTGACTTCAACTTGACAAATCCTGCATTCTTGTCTGGAAAAACAATTCGTTTTTTCCCCAAACCAGCTTCTTTTAATGTAGATAGTTGTTGTAAAGATGGAGTTCTGCTTTGATTACTTTCAGCTAAAAGGCAAAAGTCATGGGTCCAAGATTTTTTTGGATGAATGAAGACTAGTTTTTGCCTTTTAGCAGGTCGAGGGTTAAGGTGTTGCCGCTGACCACCACCACCAAGACTGGGAAAAGCTTTGCTAAAAGAAAGCAAGATACTATGTACAAATGAGATGACAAAATAAATTTGATAATAAACTACATTCGCCTTTGAAGACAAAGATTTTAGCATTTATGTTCCAGAAAGTTTAGAAATTTTGTTAGCCTTTGAAATACAACACTTTCTCCAGTTTTATTGCAGTGGTTGTGTAACTAGGCTTGATGATTTGGAGGGGGGAAGTATTCATTTAAGCATGTAATCATCCGCAAAAGAAAACTGATTTCAAATGAATTTAATACAGCAGAACATGAACATGCAAATATTGCCCCCACCCCCAATTATCCAGCTGGGTATGCCACTGTTTTACTGTGGGCTTTGCCACAACCACTAAAGCCGCTAAAAATTTCTTCTATTCTTTGTTAGGTTATTCAATACAAATAAGTTATTGACTTTATTAACTAGGACGATGATCATTTACAAACATAGAAATAAGTTATTATTATTAATAACCACTTACCTAAAATCGCGTTGTACAGCTTCATTAACACTTTCTCGAGAATGCGACGATGTTGATGCCACTGCAAGCGCTCCATTGATTTTTGAAGTATTTGTTGTGCTTGCTGTTGAAGGGCAATGATTCTGAATCTGTTCAATTGCCTCTTTTAATACAGACACAACGCGAACGACTGGATTTTCCGCCATTTTGTTCGAGATGTCATAACTTTATATGCATCCAAACTCTCCAATTCACGAAGTATCGTAAAAAAATAACCGCTGGCATTTGCATACCGTAAGGTTCAAGTCATCGTTCAAGTCGACGAATTGAAGTTCGAGTCGATGAATTGTTCGAGTCGACGAATTGAAACACGAGTCGACGAATTGAAACACGAGTCGACGAATTGAAACACGAGTCGACGAATTGAAACACGAGTCGACGAATTGAAACACGGGTCGACGAATTGAAACACGAGTCGACGAATTGAAACACGGGTCGACGATTTGTTATTTAATTTTGTCCCCTTCCTAACTCCATAGGGGAACGTTAGAAATGCCGGTTATAGTCGAGTGAGTTAGCCTTATATGACAACATCTTGCTATACTTTTCATATATCTTTACGACAGTTCAGACCCGTGTTACTTACATCACGTCAACTGGACGCGCAGGCCCAGTTCTATAACGGTAAAAATGAGCGTTTAAAATGGTATATTTTTGCATTTTTGACGGAGTTCACAGCGCAAACTATTTTTCCGATTACAGCAAAATTTTGGATTATGGCCTTTGACACCACGTACATTGGATACTGTAAAAACCACGTAAGGCTTATATGGACTTTAACGACAAAATGCAGGCAAATATACCTTGTATTCCCATTTTTGATTCGCTTCCAAACCATCACATTCCCTTAGATATAAGTCGTAGCCATTGTAATCCAAACAATTGTCTTCCGTTTTTATTTCTCTCTTGCTGTTTAATGTGAAGTACTACAGTGAAAATACAAAACAAAATTTGAAGATATAGCAGCCCCCAAAATTCTGCCATTGTTACTTTCACCATGCAATCTGGAGATTGTGAAAATGGGAGATTTAAAAGAGAAGTAGAATAGAAGGGGTTAATTAGGTCAGTGAAATAATGGGAAAGAGGACAAGTAAAAATACTTTATTTGAGACGCACAAATGAAATTGAAGAGTATAGATAAGTAGGGATAGAAGGAATAGAAAAAGTGGAAAGAAGAGAAATGACATAGACAAATCAGCGCACTGTTTCATCGTGTTTATTTTATAAAATAAAATGCCCAGTACCTAGGGCACACCACACACCGTCTTTGTACCTGCCAAATTACGCAATAAAGCTAAATAACCTAATGAAATCACCTGAAAACACTCAATGAAGTCACAATGAAATACTTTTACTCTCACACCTCCTTAGCAGCTTTGCTCTTAAAGTAACTGCATGACTAAATTACTTACCTAACAAAATGATCGACAAATTAGAAATGTCAGTAACTTTATCAAAATGCAACTACAACTGATTATTTTGCATCAAATGGACCCTGGCCGACGCTTACTTGCGGAGCGCAGGCTGGGGGGAAACGAGAACGATAATAAAGGGGATAAATTGAAATTAAAATTGCCAACAAAAGAAATCAGCAGGACAGAGCTGAAAATATGAATATTCACACACCCCGCCCAAAATTAGCGTGCTAGTTTCACTCATGAACGCGGGCTTGTATTGTTGTTTTGGCAAAGAAAACGTATGTTCGGGATCATATGGTTATATTTATGGTTATGGTTATGGTTATGGTTAGGTTATGGTTATGGTTATGGTTATGGTTATGGTTATGGTTATGGTTATGGTTATGGTTATGGTTATGGAAATGAATTATTGTTTAGAAGTTTCTAACGAACAATTTTTGTTGTCATGTTATTTTCAATTAAAAATGAGATGCAGTAATGTCTGTGGCTCACCTTATATCTACCTCTGCCCCGAAGACCAATAAATTGGAATGCGTGCACACCATGTTTAAACTTTTAAAAAATTTCGAGGTCTTCTTGTACAGACCGAGCCCTTTGGACGAGGTTTGTACAAAAAGACAAAGGTCCGATATTTCCTCATAAAGACCGAGAAGGGAGGTTATCAAAAGGCTTTTTTTATGGCATTATTTGACATGAAACAAAGCTTGCTTTCTTTCTCGTTTTTGCTGTTTTGTACGGGTTGACTTTCACTTTTCTAGGTCTTGTCAGTAAAAAAGAATTCGTTTCAAATTGTATGGTCTGAATACTGTGTTCCGAGTGTTTTTCCTTCGCCTCACATTTGCAAATCATTTTTATTTTGTTTTTTTTTGCATTTTGCTGTTTGCTTGACGAAGTTTGTTCACATTTGATTGTAAAATTACGCGTTTTGGACCGTGGTCGATAACGGGAAAACAATGGACCGGCAGAAATGCTTCTGAGCCAATCAAAGCGCGCCACTTTTCGGAAGTGACGCTTGCCATGTAATAATATATATTTTACATCCGAAGTCAGTATTTACTTTTTGCAAAAAGCAAATTTTATTAAAATTCATAATAGATTCTACAATCATTACCCTGAAATAAAAAAAAGGAAAATTAACAAAGCAAATTAATAGAAGAAGCCTTTTTCTCTACTGAAAACATAAATTTTAGATTAGTGTACATGCATGGGGCGTCAGAGTGTAAAGTGAAAGCGACTCCGAAAATATACTGGCCCCTGACAAAACTATCGATTAAATATTGTTAGTAATTAGACCTTCGGGCTTATAAAACTTTAATATTTAGCCTATTAATACTTTTAAAACACAAATTTGCGATTTTAGTGTATTGTCAATATCATATAAATATTATTATGTAAAGTGATCTTTGAAGACGAATTTCTAAAAAATTACTTCAATTACTCTTTAACCAAATATGTAAGTAGATATGTGTGCATATGGCTGATTGAAGGAGAGTCCCCCTGCAGTTGTGTCACTTCAAATTTTGTATAACCTTTACCTATCACAAGTAATACACTCTCTCATATTACATTACGAATCGACAAGCATTTTTATCGGCCATAATGTTAGGTCTTATGGCAAACCTCATAGCGTTCTTTAAATCAAAATTAGTGCTTTCCAGTATCTAAATGATTATTGCTAAAGACCAGAAAATATTCGATAATTACCATCGCAGTCTTCTTATCATGGGGAGATAAAAGGACGTCAATCTCTTCGATGAGTATATTTTTGTAGAAAATCGGGACGTACCAGCGCTTAGTGGACAACTTTGTCAGTCGAACTGTGATTAAAGAAGAATGGAAAGAGCATCAAAATAGTCTGTGGTAATTTGATGTTTGTTTATCAGCCTACGCATGCGCCATAAGCAGAAGCATCGTTTTCAATTGTGTTCGTGTGGATGGAAAAAACGCTATGAAAACGCCACTTGTGGACGTAAATCTTTTAAAAAACGCATAGGAGTTGCGTTTTCAAATGAAAATGTATACGAGTGGACGGTGCCTCATATATTTACAAATGTAAAACATTTAGAACAGTTTATAAAGAACTTTAATGATATGCTAGTTTTTCTGTCTTCATTCACCATGAAAAAACTATCGCTTTAAGAGAAAATGAATAATAATATTGTTTTACATTGGCAGCTTTCTACAATATCTTTATGGGTTTGCAGATGATTTTACAAAGGAAAACATCCGAATTAGCCCACACATGCAATCTAACCTCGCTCTCTTCTGCATTGAATGTTGATATTATTTCCAAGAATTACGCGAAAATATACGTTTCTCTGCTTATAAATATACGGTAAAATGCTTCATATTGGCCACGACATCATCAGGGGCCACAACGAAACACATAAAATTTGCTTAAAAAACATCCAAAAAATTTAATTTTCCCAGAGATGCAAAAAGAAACTGCTGACTGGCATGTACGTGAAGCCAAATTTATCATTTGAATATCCATATTACACACACGAAGTTGGGAATTATAAGTATAGACAATGTAGACGTACATATGCTTCAAACATCATTTATTTCATGATAACTACATAAAGTTATATTCAAATCATGCAAATACTTAAACTGGCATGAACGAACTCAATACAACAAAAGACAAAGGGACTCCTCAAAAAATGACTTCTCGGTTGCCTAGAAATAGAAAGCGAGTTTAATAGCGTTTGTAATGTAATAATAATTCTTTAGAATTCCATTTTATGACAATATAGTAACACTGTTTATTATTTAAATTGTCCGATACAAAAGCCATTGCATTTATTGTGTTGTCATTTTTACCAAATCGGATGATGATTAAGCAAAATATTTTCAAAATTCAAAGAAAAAAATTTTCATCACTTTTAAAGTCAGTTGTCCAGAGCTAAGATTTAAAGCTCATTATAAGTTGGCAATAAAAACAAAGCTATCTTTTAGCTACACAGACCATTTTAGCGTCTTCCTAAAGGCGAAAAGAAAATTTTATTTTACAGCTATGATTAAAACTTTACCTGAGGAAATCAACGCACAAAAATAGCCAAAACATCGGAATCTCCAGAGAACGAACCTATGTAAACATAATATATATTTAAGTTTATGAGTACTTCGTGTAATTGGTAATTATTAGCAAATGTTTAACATATTGTAAACGAAACTAAATGGTTCCAAAACGAAAATTTGAAACGACACCGAGAAATATCTACTTTTTTTAAGGGTTTCAATAGAGGCAATTATGGAAGCGGCTTGGTGGAGCAATGCTTCAACTTTTCATAAAGACTATAATAAACCATTACAAAAGAAAAAACAACACTTTGAAAATCTCACATGACTCCTTAGTGATGCAGTCCAATGACGAAATAGAATTTAAAAATTAAACAAGACTTATCTGTAAGTTGAAGTTTGATTGTAATTCTATGAGTTATTGGAAAAGGAAACTAAGGAGTCACTCACCCATTATTACACTGGAGGGTCACCTAATAGTTTTTTGGTGAAAAAATTAGATTGAACCCGACCTAATTGTATGGATGCTAATGAAATCACTCGTAGCGTTAAAAAATGATTCCTCGATCTGCGTGCGCAAATCTGAAATGACTCCTTACTTTCCTTGTCCAATAACTCGTAGAATTACAATCAAACTTCAACTTACAGGTAAGTCTCGTTTAATTTTTAAATTATAAATGTTCATGCAAAGTGCAATTGTACTTAGAATTGTTAAGTAGATGAAGTTAGGCATCAATGTATCAATACAACGATGTTGTATGTCGATTACTGTTTGACTCTCAATTGCTTGATGTAGTTAAATTATTTTTTCATTAACTATTAATAAGGGAAAATATAATACAGAAGTTCTATGAAATTATTCTTGCAAGTTTATCTCTTTGATTTCAATTTTCTGTGCTTAAATTGTATTAACTACACTACAGTATTATCAAAATAAAAATTAGTCTTTCGAGAAGTTGAGTAACACACATTTTTGACCCCTTACGTCACAATTGGAAATACTGTAGGCCGGTACTTGTTGAAGTCAGTACAAAAATTTGCTGCAACAACCAGGTTTTGAAAAGGAATTTAGCTAATTAAAAAGCTGATTAGAAATTGCAAGCTACTAAAAAAATTGATGGAAAATTTTATGATTTTTTTGCTACCTATAACTCGAAGCAATTTTTCAAATACTGCAAACTTCAAACGTAAATCTGGTATGAAAGGGTAGCAAAATTTGGGAACAGTTTTTTTTATTCATATTAAGAGTATTTTCGCTGCCATTGCACAGATATGATATGAAAAATCAACTTCTACAACTTACTGTATTCGTTGTAATTCTGATGCCGCCCAATTTTGCTGTAAATGAATGATGTTCCTGAAAATCTTTTTTCCCAGGCGCATCCTGGAAAAGTGTTTCCAATGCTTAGCCAACCATCATCCTTGGGACAACCTCCATAGAAGTGATTTATATGAAAATCACGACATCTTCCACTCCAGCAAGGTCCTACGATTGTAAAGTAGTTAAATGTAGACGATGTTATATCATGCCATGGTGATTGCACGAGGTTCTGCTTTGTAAACCAGTTCATGTAGCTGCAATGTTCACTTTTGAACTTTAAGACCAGTTGTTCTAAGCCATCTTTGTACAGCACAAAACGCACCTAATGAGAGAAGAAAGAAAAAACCCATATCAGTTTGTTTTTGCTTAATTTTCTAGTTCCAGCTTAGGATGGTATGGTGTAACTACTTGTTAGACGGCATTAACACTATGAGTCGACGTGTTTATATTTGCTTATATATCGGGGCTTGCACATCATTTTCACAAGTGAAACATCATCATTATGTTGATTATATATTTACCTCACTAGGCTTTACTTTGTTCCAATTAGTTGGGTTGACAATTCGATTTTTATAAAGTCCCGTAAATGATTTAAATTTGTTAAGAGCTTCTAAACTTGTTTCATGTGAAGGTGACGTCTGTTTCCAAAATTTACCAATACTTGTTAATTGGTTGCCTCCCGAAACAACCTTGAAAGCCATTGTATAGCCTAACAGAAGACATGGTTAGGAATGACATCTCTTTTGTCGACTGTAATTTAACATTATTCCTACATTGAACGCTATAACGACGGCTGAAAAAAACTGCTAAGTTTAGTGAATATATGTTGACGTTTGAGATAAGATTCAAGACGTAAGTATATTTTTCTGTTGTTTTTTTCAACACCAAGTACAGTCAAAAAAATCTTATCGAATTACAATGAATTTTAACCCTCTAGAGGCCGTTGTTGCTCACAGGCAAAATCATCATACGCGACGCGTACAACTATTGAAAACGACCGGCTCGTAGGGCCTGTTAATATGAGCCCGGGTAGCCTGGATTCAGTGAAGCATTTAATCATTTTAGCAAATGGAAAAGATTACTTCCTTCACAACAAAAAACTTATTTAAGCAATTTCTCTATGTTCTGAATTTGCAAATTCACAAAACCTTTAAAATGAAAACAAATAATTTGGCCAGATTTGAAAATTACAACTAAAATGACTCATGACTTATAAGAAAGGTTGTAAGTTTTGCGTTTCAAGTTTTTACTCCTTTCAATATCTCAAATTCATTTCGCGCCTCGCTGAATCCCGTTTAGCTGGGCTCATGTGAACTGCCCCTTAGAAGTTTAAAGAAGATTCTGTGCAGCTCTAATGAACAAATATATCAAATTGTAAGTGTCGCTTTCCACAATTTAGTGATCTGTGAAATTTGTGACAATACTTTCAATACACTTCATCTAAATCACTCAAGGACTTGTACAACAGACCAGAAGATTGATCTTGTGAAAACTTCAAAAAATGAAATTATGTAAAAGAGCATCAAATTTAAACTATCACACATATAGCTATGTGACGGTCAGTTTTTTACTTAAGTCAAGAAAACGACAAGTTTGTCGACCAAACGAAGATGAAGTTGTCTCGATCAAATTGCTGATGCATATTTTTGTCTTTTTTCGGAAATAATAAATAAAATATTTTGAGTCATTCTTTCTATACTATACATCCCGGAGATAAAAGGAAACGTGTCATAGTTAAAATCAATACCATACCTCCGGATTTCATGTCACAAAACACTGGAAATGCATTTTTCCTATTTGCTAAAATATAAAAAGGTCGTTTAAGTCTGTAGTTGAACTTATGTTTCGTAAACAGATTAAAATATTATGAACAGATTATATGCCAATTAGTTTACTGCAAACAAAACGCCTAGAAGAACATAAACTCTGTGGTGTGAATTTTAAAAAAATTGCACGTATGTGTTAAAGAGCAATTTTAAAGTTTTTTTTTGAACTCTAATAATTTTGTTTTCAATGAACAATGATAGTAGATTATAACTTGACATTTAACATCTTACTGTTTTCTAGAGATATCCAATAGATGCCATCGGGAAGACAGCTTTCTGATCTTTTCATAAGAATGTCAAAGCAAGACTTTCCTGGTGACTTTATGCTACCATACTGAAACAGTTAAATCATTACACCATAGCAAATGTTAATAATTTTTGAACAGCAATAACATTTTCGCAAATATTTTGAAAAATAAGAACTTAGTTGTATCTAAATAAGTAAGTTGTATCTAAATAAGTACTAGAATATTCTAAAAATCCCAAAAGAAATTCTCCTCAAAACCATAAGTAAAATTTAATTCAACGTGATTTTGATCGTGTATTTTTTCTGCAACCCAATGCAATAAATATTATAACTATATCATTTTTGGTGTGGACTTTTTATCTAATACTCGGAAATAGAGAAATAACACCTTACAGATTTTACAAAATATTTTCGATACTTATAAGGCAAAATAGTCGCTAATAATTTTTTTGTAAAAGTCTTAAAAGAAACAAGGAAACTCAGAAGAAAAATATATTCAAGCTTTGAAACGACCTTAAATTTTGTTTTACATGTGGCAAAATGTTTTGTTTGTGATAAATATATTGTGCACATTTGAGACGTCTAAGTGGGAGAGGGAGGAAAAGTTATACTTGATCAAGATAAAGCTGTTCTATGAAACACAGTCACAGGCAATGCATAGCTAAGTCCTTTCCAGAACGTGCTACAACCCATTTTTTCAGGGAGTATGCAACCTTTATCGCTAACACAAACGAGTATTTTAAACACACTTACTGGAAATGTGGCAACCCTAAACTAATAACTATCTATAATTTTCAGTTATTCATTTAACTAAATAATGGCTTAAACTTTAACAAAGTTATTGACATGGCACTAACAGCACTAACACAAAAAATAGCAAATAAAAACTGTGAATTTGAAACATTGCATAGAGACCAGCTAGTTCCAGTTTTTAAAATTGAAAGATCAGTTCTTTCATTATGATGGCCAAAGTCCATGCAAAATATAAGTTATATCTTATAAACTTATAATGTTTGTTTTAAGGGAAATAGTGAGTTTTCTTTACAAAAATTTTCCATGTTTGCCAAAACGAAGTCATGCAATGAATCAATCGCATTAAAATGCACATAAATCATACAACAAAAACGATTATTTCTCTACCGTCAGGGTACAGTCACACTTGAGTCGATTGTCAGCATAAGATGAAAAGAAAATGAAACAGGTGATAATGATTGTAGGAAACAGCACCATGTCTACATGAATTGGTATAGAAACAAATTTTAATACATGCTCATTTTTATAAAATTATTGACAAATAGATTTTTTTTAACTGTTGTTTTTACGGTTATAGATACACAGTGTGACTTCATTTAGGATAATAACAAAATAATCTGCCACGAGCTGACGGGACTTAACACGACGTCAGATCATAAATCGGAACAGATAACAGTCAAATGTAATCCATTTTGTTTCATACTATGAAATCGCAAAAAATGCTGGAATTATTCAGGCAAATAGTTCATTTTTCTTTCCTTCTACATTATCAAACAGAGTTTTTTTCTTCTTTTATTGCCGAAGTGCATCGACCGCTTTAACTTAGTCATTTTCAAGATCTTCATTCTGCCTAGTCAGCAATATATTCAGGTAAATATTCAAACAATCGCGCCATTTGTTTCTCCTTGTCAAAAATAGAAACTTTCTGTCAACATCATTCTGTGCTTCTCTAGCTCAAAGGTTTCGACCAATATAATTGCTTCAATTCTTAACGTTGGAATACAATATTAATTAAATTATCTTTTTAGGAGAGGTAATAAATCAAGGCCGCTTGCATGTGCTTAATGAATGCATTAAAAAATTTTCAAAGGCCTTTATTTGACAAAAGAGACGCAAAATCATCAGTCTATTTTCAAATTTTCTTTCTGTTTTCTTACTGCAAAAACAATACAATTTTGAACACATGAATAATGACAATCTTCTAACTTATTTTCTTTATTGTGGTCATTACTATTTGCTATAGATAAACTAGGATCATATAAAATTCAAATGGATATGAATTATATAGTGTACTCGTTGGATATTGTAGGGATTATTCTTTTGTTGGCATACTTTATGCAAAACTAATATTTGGCCGTACTTTGGTTAGTGAAGATAAACATTAGTTCTTGCGCCTTTCTAATACATCGTTGCGTACAATAGTGCACCACGCATTTTTTACGGAAAGAAAACAGCCAAAAGATAGAGAGTTATTGCGAGAGTGATGCCATAAATGATACCATTCTTTTAAAAGAATATGTTCGACGTGGCATTAGAATACATTAGGCAATTTATTTAGTCATGCATGCAGTCAATGTGTGAAGCATAAACGTGCGTAAAATACTTAATTTTATCTATGTTTAATGCAATATTTTTCATCGAATCTAAAATTTTCTGATTGTCACTGTTTTACTTCATTATAAATGTTCAAGAAAATGTTTTCACAGACTGTTAATGCGTCGACAAAGTGACACGTTATTAGGTTTTGTAGACTGAAAATTGAATAGACGTATTTTTAGAGGGGCATCACGTGGAAATTTGAATTTTAAATTTCTTCTGAAAACAACCAATATCTTTGCACGTAAATAACCTTTAGTCAAGGGGGAGTTTTTGCTATGTGACCTTCCAGATTCATTAAACTTTAAACCATGTTAATTAGGTCGTGATTTTCTTCAGTTTGTGTTTTTGAAGCGAATTACAACATTAGAACTGCATTTTCTATAAAGATTACTGACGAAAAAATTTTAGCAATGATGTTTATCTAAAAGAGCTGCTTTATGTGATTTTGTTCTGATTGAAGTAGACAAAAGAACTTTTCAAATTCCATGCACTTTCGTCTATGTCAAATTAAATAAGGAGTTTTAGTGAGCAGTGAACGTAGGTTTTCTGTATATGGACGTGAAGAACTTTCCATTAGAGCGATGAATAGTGATGTCAAGAAATGGAAGTTTTCCATTTGTTCGATTTCACTCGTAAACTTAATATTGGGGTGTTTGAGGTTTGAATAGGCAAGAAAGAGTTCCGCATGGTCAGCAGTACGAAAAAGGAGAAAACAGTAATTACTATTAGGCATAGATTACCTAGGATCATATAAAATTCAAATGGATATGAATTATATAGTGTACTCGTTGGATATTGTAGGGATTATTCTTTTGTTGGCATACTTTATGCAAAACTAATATTTGGCCGTACTTTGGTTAGTGAAGATAAACATTAGTTCTTGCGCCTTTCTAATACATCGTTGCGTACAATAGTGCACCACGCATTTTTTACGGAAAGAAAACAGCCAAAAGATAGAGAGTTATTGCGAGAGTGATGCCATAAATGATACCATTCTTTTAAAAGAATATGTTCGACGTGGCATAAAAATACATTAGGCAATTTATTTAGTCATGCATGCAGTCAATGTGTGAAGCATAAACGTGCATAAAATACTTAATTTTATCTATGTTTAATGCAATATTTTTCATCGAATCTAAAATTTTCTGATTGTCACTGCTTTACTTCATTATAAATGTTCAAGAAAATGTTTTCACAGACTGTTGAATGAAAAACACAATTATAGCTTTCATGGTGTTTATCTAGCACAATTAAGCATTTGGCTAACAATATAAGTATATAGATGACATAGAATAAGATTACAAATTTTTAGTTTTACAAAAGAAAATTACAAAAATATCATGAAGTAATTTACCTGAAACCGAATATGTGCTTGAATTTTTAGAATGTGTTGACTGCTGAGATTACCACAAGAAATGCGTCGACAAAGGGACACGCTATTAGGTTTTGTAGACTGAAAATTGAATAGACGTATTTTTAGAGGGGCATCACGTGGAAATTTGAATTTTATATTTCTTCTGAAAACAACCAATGGCTTTGCACGTAAATAACCATTAGACAAGGGTGGCTTTTTGTTATGTGACCTTCCAGATTCATTGCAATTTCAAACATGTTAATTAGGTCACGATTTTCTTCAGTTTGTGTTTTTGAAGCGAATTATAACATTAGAACTGCATTTTCTATAAAGATTACTGACGAAAAAATTTTAGCAATGATGTTTATCTAAAAGAGCTGCTTTATGTGATTTTGTTCTGATTGAAGTAGACAAAAGAACTTTTCAAATTCCATGCACTTTCGTCTATGTCAAATTAAATAAGGAGTTTTAGTGAGCAGTGAACGTAGGTTTTCTGTATATGGACGTGAAGAACTTTCCATTAGAGCGATGAATAGTGATGTCAAGAAATGGAAGTTTTCCATTTGTTCGATTTCACTCGTAAACTTAATATTGGGGTGTTTGAGGTTTGAATAGGCAAGAAAGTGTTCCGCATAGTCAGCAGTACGAAAAAGGAGAAAACAGTAATTACTATTAGGCATAGATTACCTAGGATCATATAAAATTCAAATGGATATGAATTATATAGTGTACTCGTAGGATATTGTAGGGATCATTCTTTGGTCGGCACACTTTATGCAAAACTAATATTTTGCCGTACTTTGGATTAATGAAGTTTAACATTAGTTTTTTCGCCTTTCTAATACATCGTTGCGTACAATAGTGCACCACGCATTTTTTACGGAAAGAAAACAGCCAAAAGATAGAGAGTTATTGCGAGAGTGATGCCATAAATGATACCATTCTTTTAAAAGAATATGTTCGACGTGGCATTAGAATACATTAGGCAATTTATTTAGTCATGCATGCAGTCAATGTGTGAAGCATAAACGTGCATAAAATACTTAATTTTATCTATGTTTAATGCAATATTTTTCATCGAATCTAAAATTTTCTGATTGTCACTACTTTATTTCATTATAAATGTTCAAGAAAATGTTTTCACAGACTGTTGAATGAAAAACACAATTATAGCTTTCATGGTGTTTATCTAGCACAATTAAGCATTTGACTAACAATATAAGTATATAGATGACATAGAATAAGATTACAAATTATTTAGTTTTACAAAAGAAAATTACAAAAATACCATGAAGTAATTTACCTGAAACCGAATATGTGCTTGAATTTTTAGAATGTGTTGACTGCTGAGATTACCACAAGAAATGCGTCGACAAAGTGACACGCTATTAGGTTTTGTAGACTGAAAATTGAATAGACGGATTTTTAGAGGGGCATCACGTGGAAATTTGAATTTTATATTTCTTCTGAAAACAACCAATAGCTTTGCACGTAAATAACCATTAGACAAGGGTGGCTTTTTGCTATGTGACCTTCCATATTCATTGCACTTTAAAGCATGTATTTTTAGAGGGGCATCACGTGGAAATTTGAATTTTACATTTTTTCTTAAAACAACCAATGGTTTTGTACTTCAATAACCATTCAACAACGAAAAGTTAGTTGGGCACACATTTATTTGACATCTCCCAGGCAGGGTATAGCTTAATACTTGAATTCAAAAAAAAATACTTGTTTTAAAAAGTGGGGTAGAAAAGTACAATGGTATGTGCAACAAAACGCTTCGTGCTTAAAAATTATATTTGTTGTAGGCAAGCACAACACCTGACATATAATTACGTAAAAATAATTTGCTGTATTGATCAAAGGTATAATGCTTGACATTTGTCAAATATCATCATTTCGAAAGTAGGAAAAACAACAAAATATATCTTACTGACCAACTGATAATGATAATTCCAAAGATATATCTTATAAACAAATTAATTTAATAATTTTTAGTAATAATATGCTTTTCTAAAAAAATTTGGCATGATCCAAATTGAAGGTATTTGGTTGTTTAGCTTATGCCCATATTCCTAATATCAAAAGGAAGTTAGAGGCTAAATCATCAAAATGTATATTTGTGGGTTACCCTGAAGGTACAAAAGGATTCAAGTTGTACAATCCAAAAACAAAGTCATTCATCAAGAACCGAGGTATAATTTTTGATGAATGAAAGTTTTACAACTTTTGACAATAAAAATTCAAACACTGATAATACATTTGAGATGCAGACACCCGTCATGCAAACTGATGATGATAGCGTGGAAAATGATGATCTAGCTGTAAGAGAAGATAATATTTATAAGGAGTATTTTTTGCAGATGATCTCACAGCAGATATTAATGAACCCAGAAACTTTAATGAAGCATGGTCATGTGATCAGAAAAAGGAATGAATTGAAGCCACTGATGCTGAATATATTTCTTCACTGATGGAGCATAAAACGTGGAAACTGGTAGCTTTACCCAGTAGAAAGAGTGTAGTTAGAAGTAAGTGGGTTTTCAAAGTCAACAGAATGTTGATGGATTGATTGAAAAATTCAAAGCGCGTCTGGTAGCCCAAGGACACTTGCAAGCTGAGGGATGTGATTTCCATGAGGTATTCTTGTCTGTGGTACCGAACACTTCAATGAGGTCTTTACTTGCTCTGGCTAACTCTCTGGATTGGGAAGTTCATCAGATGGACGTAAAGTCAGCGTTTTTACAAGGAGATCTCAACGAAGAGATTTACTTGCGTCAACCAGATGGGTATGTTGATAAAGGTAATCCTAATCATGTGTGCAAACTGAAAAAAAGTTTGTATGGCTTAAAACAAGCGGCTCGATGCTTGAATTCCGCTATAGACCATTACTTGAAGACAGGTGAATACAAAAAAGCCGATTCAGACAAATGTTTGTATGTGAAATCGATCAAAGCAAAGGATGGAAGAATCAATTTTGTTCATTCATGTAGATGATATTTCACTTTTCTCTAACAATATTGATATGTTAAATAAAGAAAAGTTATTAATTGGCAAACGATTTAAAGCTCAAGAATTGGGTGAAGTGAACTATGTCCTTGGCTTGGTAGTTAAACGTGACCGGAAGTCAAGAAAGCTGACCATTAACCAACCAAAATATCTTGAAGGTATTCTCAAGATGTTTCAAATGGAAAATTGTAAACCTGTCAGTACACCAATGGAAGCAGGAAAACAGTTTTGTGCATTACCCGAAGATGAAAAGCCATTAATGTTCAAGAATACAAAAAGATGATCGTATGCCTTACATATGTTTCTACTGCAACACGTCCCGATTTAGCAAGTGCAGTTGGAAATATGGCAAAATACCTGTCTAGACCTGGAATGGAACATTTCAAAGGAGTAAAAAGAGTTTTAAGATATATTAAAAGAGTATTAATCATAGTCTAGTATTTAAAGCTAATGAAGAAAAGCAAATGATCATCGGATATTCTGATGCTGAATGGGGAAACGACTTGGATACCAAAAGATCAATATCTGGGTATGTGTTTCAAGTTAAAGGAAGCACCGTAAGTTGGTTTAGCAAAAGTGAAACGTATGTTGCAAGGTTTTTAACCGAAGCTGAATACGTTGCACTAATTTAAGCTACACAAGAAATTGTGTGGTTGAAGATACTCCTACAGGATATGAATGTAAGATCAGAAAAATCATTGGTCATTTATGAAGATAACCGGGGAGCTATCGAACTATCCAAAAATGCTAAGTTTTATAACTGCACAAAACATATTGACATTGCATTTCACTTTATTCGAGAGAAAGTTGGGAATGAGTCAATTGATGTGAAGTACTGCCCTACAGATCAAATGTTAGCTGACATCATGACCAAAAGTCTATCCAAGGAACAATTTATAAAATTCGGAGAGCAATTGGGAGTTTCTGAAGTCAATTAACTTTAGTCTTGTTTAATAATGATATCCTCAAGTGTTAGGAATGACAATACATTATATGTGTAATAAGCTAAGTATTAGATATCTGATCATGGCACTAGTCACATGATCTAGTAAGCACTTCTTATTGTATGCTAATTCTTATTATGTTCTGCTCGATACCGAATATTTTTGGACAACACTTATTATGTAGCTTATATTATTAAATATATTTTGTTTTGTTCCTGCACATTTGAATAATAAATTAACAGTGGCATCGAGTACTTATTTCAGTAAATGCGTCGGTGTAAAGGCAATTTTAGATTTAATCAACCAGAAGCTAAAATCAAATTGAGAACGAACAATTTTGTCTTGGTCATGATAGACACAAACAATAGATTGATTAGTAATCTATCTTTGTATAATTGCCTACATTTTGTTTTATTTGCAGGCATGCGAATTATTTCAAAATAATATTATGTTCGTGTGATTTTTGGCGAAAGTTTACCTATCTAGGCGATTTGAATGGCTTATTTTTGTGGTTGGAGAGTTGGCAAAAAGTCGTGGATGTTAGCCACAGTTGAGAAATATTCTCATCTTCTAACGACACAGTTGGCTGGAAGTGCCCATTATTTCAAATTCTGATTGCAATTTTCTATCGTTTACTTTTACTTTGTCAAGTCCTACATTTGCAGAACGATGTAGTAAATGATAAGCGTGAACTGTAGCTCATCTCCATTTTTTTTGTTAATTTCGTCGACAAGTGTATCTCAGCAACAACGATGGAGTCATTGTTATTTATGTATTTGTTCCTGTGCACTGATTTGTTGAGGGTATTCAGCTTGCGATTGGTTGTTTGAAAATATGTCCAAACTTCCTTCAGCAACTGAAACACTAATTGCTGACCGAAATAAGTATATTTTAATTAATTGTTCACACGACAAACATTCGTTACAAAATGAAGTAACTTTCTAACTTTAAAGACATTTGAAGATCACATCTAACATTTAAAAACTGGGTTGAAGCATCGCTTGCAAACAATATTTACATTTGCAATGTTGCATATAGTATGCTTTGAGTAAGAAAAAGAAACGTGCGTGCTTCCACGCGTGCTTTAGTTACATGTCTAAACTTCAAAGTAGGAGAATATGCTTAAAATAATAAAATAATACTGAAAATCTGTCAACTGTTGGATTTTTGATTTAAAACTTCAAAATCATATATCAAACACGAATTTTTTTAAATGCTGTATCTGAAAAGAATATGCTAAGCCTCAATTAGCTACATTAGCCTTTGTAATGAGTTATTCGCACCTCATAAGAACCGATGTGGTTTATTTAAGGTATGACCTGTTTAACTATCATGAATAGTATCTGCAAGATATTGGTCGGTTGCTTAGAAACATATGACGAATGATTTCGAGTTTAAATCTTTCAGGCCAAGAAGTAAATCAGCAGAATGCCTCAGTGTACAATAAACGTGAATCGTAGTTCATCTCAAATTCGTTATTCAAATTTCTCTACAAGAGCTTTTCGTTATATACAATAAACAAAACCAGATTGCTTTGGTTTACTGATTTCTCGAGAGTGTTGTTAATTTACGTATTACGTTCTCTGGTAAACTTCGTTTTGATTGGTGTTTCGAATGTTTAAAAATACCTTCCTTCAGCAAACGAAAAATTCTCTGCTGAAGGAAATACTGGATAATTATATTCAATTATCAAAGAATATTATATGCAGTGCGGTGTTTGAAATTAAATGAAGATATGATCTTCGCACTTTGCACTTGACTTAAATTGTCATGCAAAGTGCGAAGATCATATCTTCATTTAATTATATTCAATTAATTGTTAAACGACAGGCATTCTGATTTGCGATGAGAAATTTACAAACTTAAGTTGCCATTAGAGAAAAAGGGTTATAACTCGTCAACGCAGATTCACAATATACTTTTGAGGTCCAAGAAAGTCAAAATAACCTTAGCTAATTTTTACGAAAGATGATTTCTTTCCTCATGCATGCAGTCAATGTGTGAAGCAAAAACGTGCGTAAAACACTGAGAGCATTTTCTTGAACATTTATAATGATGTAAAGCAGTGGCAATCAAAAAATTTTAGATGCGATGAAAAATATTACATATACATAAATAAAAGTTAAAGACTGTTGAATGAAAAGCACAATAAAAGCTTAGAAAATGTCTATCTAGCTCAAGCATTTGGCTAGCAATAAAAGTTACACCATACTCTTATATATAGATGACATGGAGTAAGATTACATATTATTTACTTTTACAAAAGAAAATAAAAATAACATGAATTAAGTAATTTACCTGAAACCGAATATGTGCTTGATTTTCAGAATGTGTTGACTGCTGAGATTACCACAAGAAATGAGTCGACAAATTGACACGTCGTTAGGTTTTGTAGACTGAAAATTGAAAGGACGTATATTATTACATGGAAATCACGTGGAAATTTGAATTTTAAATTTCTTCTGAAAACAATCAATGGTTTTGTATTTCAATAACCATTGGATAGCGAGAAGTTAATTGGACAAACATTTATTTTAAATACCTCCAGGAAGGTATACATCAATAATTGAACTAAAAACATATTTATTTGTGTTAAAAACTGGGTTACAGTGGTATGTGCAACAAAACATTTTGTTTTTAAAAGTCAAATTTTGCTGTAGGCAAGCACAACATGTACACCAAATATAATAGCGCAAAATAGTTTAATTAGTTTATGGATCAAAGGTATAATGCAAAACACTTGTCAAGTGTCATCATTTAGAAAGTAGCAAACCCAGCAAAATATATCTTACTGAACAACTGATAATTATATATCTTATGATTGAGTTAACATGTTTTTCTAAGAAATTGGAATGATTCAATCTGATCAGATTTTTTGATAAATGGCAGAATCACATATGGATTGCATGATAAACGCAGATGGAATGAAAAATTGCATGAAGTACTCCAATTAATTAACAGATTTTTCTAAAAGAACCGGCCCTACTAAAAAGTCTTGAGCTTTGTGTTGTGTTACCGAACAATTGCCAAACAATGGATACTCCATATACACAATTCAAATGGTAAGAGGCATGGCACGAATCATGGCTTTCCAGATAGCCCAAGGTTTTTTATAAGAATATTTTATATTTTTGTCTTTCAGGAATTAGTACCTAGTGTCTAAAACATCGACAATTTTTCTGTTTGTTAAAGACCCTCAGTGCACAGTGTTTTTAGGATTTTTACTTTAACTCCAGGGAAGACAAAGTAAGTATCAAAGTTTTTTTCCACTTATAGCTACAGTTATTGCCACTTGTGTTTCCGGATAACACGAGCATACAAGATGAGGACCATTTCAAAATTCAACCTTTTAAGATTAATATGTACTTTTTATCATACCAAGGTTCCAAATGCCATTCATATGCCATCGTGCCTTTTTTAGTCGACGGATGTTTTGGTACTATCTGGGAGGGAATGCATTTATTTTTTTGACTCTAACACGCCCATATTAGCAAAAAAAGGAACAGTATGCACTCTGTCCCTTCTCTTTTTTGCATTTTTACGGCACACAACGTTAGTCTAGGAGACAAAAATGAGTTTGGGAGAATGAAATCCAGGGAATTAACGAGATAACTTGGGGCGTCGATTTCAAAAATGAATGGTATACGGGTGTTCAAGGGTGTGATGATGATAATGTAATGGAATTTTGGTGCGTTAACTGACAAAGACAAAGTGTATTATATAATGATATACTGATTATATAAACAAGGATTTGTGGGATGGAGCTGTCATTGACTTTAAAGATGTGGTTGAACTTAAAGATGACAAATAATGGCGTTGCTTGAGCTAGATATAACGGTTTTCTTGTTAAAGATGAGATGTATCAAATGTCATGATACTTTTGTGTGTAAATGACACTTGTTTAAACCCACATACGACACAGAACCATGCATGTCTATATTTAAATAACAATATTTGAATTATAACTGCTTGCTTTTTGTAATTCTTTAACAACAGTATGCACTCTTGCAACAACGTTTATTCGTAAAAGCACTTAGTCGTTAATTGGAAAACGACTTTAGCAATCAGTATGCACATCTCACACACATTTCATGTTTTACCTAGTTATTTTGCATTGAATAAGATAACAATCAAACTTTATAGAGTGTCAAAGCATATTGTTAAACAATGCAATAGTCCTGGAATAGTAAAAGAAAATGAAAATATTGTACCGAAAATGCATCAGTTTCTTCACCATCGTTGGTTATTTTAATATCATCGTGAATGGGCTCAACAGTGGCTTCTTTCAGGGTGGTTGGCGGAAAAACAGTAGACAGCAAATTTAATGTCAACAAACTCATAAAAGTCACTCTACATACTTTGTAATCACTTCAATAACATATAGACCTGCTCTGAATCGACTTTAGACTTTGGAAAACACATAATATATGGGCCGCATAAAATGAGGCAGATTGATGAACATAGATTGTTGATCATGTATGGAAAAATATAACAATGCAATGTAATTCCGTACATGCATAACTAGTATTTTCAAAGCTAAAGGCTGCTCGGGAATATTACCTCCACAAACTTTCTAAATTTTGCTTTGCACCAAAAACGTAACAGTATGATATAGTGGTTGGCAGTGTATGTATGCACAGCTGTTATACCTCATCCACAATTTGTAGCATAGCCAGTTTATTTAGCATTTATTCCTGCTATACAAGGCAAATATTTTGTTCATTTACAGATAAAGCAATGATGAAATTAATTATAAAAATGGAAAAAAATGATGCATCCCATTATCCAAAATGACATCACAGTAGTTAGTACAGTCAGGTCTTATGTCATAAAGTTTTTCTTTTTCGGTTGAATATTTATCATCAACATTGGTCAAATCAATTTCAGCAAAGATGCAATTTCAGGCACATTTTCCCAAGAAGATTTGTGGTTACTCACCTTTTGCAAGAGATGCAGCAGCTATCTCACCACTGGTGCGAAAGTCTCCATTTTGGACATGAAATGTGGAGTTAAAGGGAGCAACATTTTCAAATAGTTTTGCCGATATGAAGATGTTTGCAACGGACAATAGTATCTGTAAATTCTTTTGCAATACCTCCAGAGTCTACTCCTGCTTCTCCTGCTTTTCCATAAATTCCACATGTCGTTCGCATTATCAGCAAAATAAAATATGTGCTCCCAATACTGATAAGTTAAATCTTCAATAAATTTTTCACTATTAAAATTTTTCATGTTTCTAATTTCAACTATATTTTCAATCTGCTTTTTTGAGAAGTTAATTTTCCTAACGGCAAATATCAACTTATAGTCAGAAATTCCACTATGTATGACGCCAGAATGGGAAATATTGTCTGGGCTATTAGTTATTATATGATCAATAAGAGTGGAGGTTGACAGCGTTACTCGCGTGGCCTCATTAATAAGTTGAGACAGTTGATACAATATAAAGATATAATTTTCTTTGTTGGTGAATCAGGTTCTTGTTTAAGGATATCGCAGTTAAGATCACCAAAAATATATAATTCTTTATTTTGATCGTCAAATTGTTTGATTAATTCTTCAAAATGCAAAAAGAAATCATTAGTAGAGTTAGGTGGGCGATAAATAGTAGAGACCAAGAATGGTCGACTGTTTGGTAAAGAAATTTCTATGCAAACAGCCTCTAAGTCAGAAGGGATAAGGTCTTTTCTAATTACGTAGTTTATGGAGCTACGTAAATATAGGCAAACTCCACTCCCGTTTCTTGACCTGTCGTTTCTTATTACATCATACCCCTTAATGTTAATCATATTATTAGTTATTGTTGAATCAAGACGGGTTTCATTTAGCGCAAATAAGTCGATGTGCTTATACGGTTGAGACAACCGTACTTCGTCAATCTTCATAGGAAGACTGGCTATATCGAGAAAAGCCATTTTCAAACCTCTTTTTTTGGGAACCTGATTAAAACAATTAGAAAAATCGCTACTCACTTTTTTGTCATTTGGATTAATTACATGCTTAGATGTCTCTTTAAATATTTCAAATAGTTTGTCCATTCATTGGACTTCCTCCCAGTTCCTTGAAAAAAAGGCTGGTGGGTCGTAAGCTGTGTTTCATTACCACGAGTGTGCATAATATGTTTAATAAAGGTGCAAAAAGCACTACCAAGAAATTGGTTTCCCAATTTGTTCCAGTGGAGATTGGAGCCATTTAAGTGATTTTTGCCAATTTTTTCATTATTTATAAAAGAAGCATTATGTTTTGAGCATAATTTGTAGATGAGAGAATTATAAAAAGCTATTTTATTTAATGAGACCTTGCCATCAAATTTTTTTATAACACTTGAAATCCCTACTTTACATGCTATCTTCTTCGCAATTGCAATCAAGGTTTCTAAACCTGTGGCAACTTCATCAGCACTACTATTGGCAAGATAATTAGTACCAACATGAATAATATTAGTACCATATTTGTTTTGGGGGATCCCCCGGACTTTTTGCAAAATGTCCTTTACTTTTGCACCACTGAAGTAGTGGCAGGTAGATTTCCCTCTCGCTGCCAGGGGATCATTTTTTAATCTACATGTTTCAACATTGAGTCACTAATGATAACAGTTGATGCAGCTGAATAATCATGGGTTTTTTAGTCAGTTATATCTTGGTCGTCAGGAGTGTCAATTTTTGATTTGATGAATTTTCCCTTCTGCTTATTGCGTAGGCATTCAGTTGAGATTGAGTTTTTTTTGTCAGTTAGCTCGTTGTCTTCATTAGGATTTCCAATTTTTGATTTTGAAAACTTTTCCTTCTATTTACAGCGGTAAGCATTCAGTTGAGCATTCAGTTGAGGGAGGCATAATTCCATTGACGGTGTGCTAACGGTGGGAGCTACGTGATTTTCCTTGAGGTATTTATCGAGGATATTTCCAAATCTATTTAAGAGAGGAAGAGGATTAGTTGTTGGGTTTTGTTGGTTGGTCTTGGGTTTATAACTCATATGTTTTTTCCCATCAAAAGATCTATCAAACGCTGTAATTTTTGCAATGGCTTTTTGCATAATAGTCTTGTTATTTTTGCAATATCACCTCTTCGGTGCAAGCATTTTTAGGAAACCATCTTTAAACCTTTCTAGTACAATAAATCTTTTTACTTCTTCATTTGGGTCCAATTTACAGCTTTTTTAGCTGATCTAAAGTGTGCACAGTTCTTTTTGCTTGACTTCTTTTTCAAAACTGCTAAAATGTGAGTATCTTATTCGCATTCCGAGGACTGCCAAATGACAGCTGAGTTAGACCATCTGCAGGTGTTTCCGTTTATCTCCACAAACATTACTCGTTAAGGGCTCAGAACTCGAAATGACAATTGACAGCTGGCATAGACTATCTACTGGTTGCTTCAATTTATCATCAAAAATAATATTTGTT